ATAAAATGCCAAGAGCTCTCTAAGAGCTAAAGTAAGATCTCCAAAATCACACTGTGCATGGAGGTTGCACTGACAGGCCCTTTAACTCATCCTCCTGGGCCATGGTTCGCTTGGTGATGAGAGAGGGTGCTTACATGCAAGACAGTTTCCAGTATTTCAATGAAGAAAATATTTTGTGTATGTGTATGTATGTGCACATGTGAATGCTTAAATAATTATTGATATACTCTTTGCTCTTGAATTGAGAGAAAAAGCATTATTCTCATATCAGGGCAGTCATGATTTCAATAACATTTTCAAAGTTCTGAACTGGTCTCCCTGTTCTTAGATGACTCTCACAACTCCAAGGGGCAATGACTATAAAATGAAGGAGGGTTCTGTTGCCAGTAAAAATTTTCTTTCAAGTTGCTCTATTCATATTCTTGCCAAGTTTGAAACCTAGGGAGTTTAAAAATTATTCACAATTTTTCATCAACTTTGATGTACAAAAAAACTAGAGATGTAGTTTTACAAATATGTTATCTATTAAAGTTGATTTAAATAAAATTAAACAATGAACTGTTGGGATCATTTGAGCCTGAAAGCAGGGTAGGAGTGAGATGGAGTCCAGTAACATCCTGCCTCACATCCCAGAACATCCCTGCCACCATCACAAACACTTGGAATGAAGCTGTGACACCAGCTGCCTGGTTTTGAAAGAGATAAATAGGATTTTTGAATTCACTGTGGTGAAACTTAGGCTAAATCCTCCTCTCCTCCTGCTTGCTTCCCTTTTTAGGAAGTCTATGGCTGACCACCTGGTGTTCTGAATCATTAATTCATGGAAGACATTCTGTCAGGAATAACATGTAACAGGCAGCCTGGCAACCGCCATTGAAATCCTTCCAGCTCTCCGTTCACTTTAGTTCATTTCAGTAATTATTTATTGTACACATACTATCATGCCCAGCCTGGTGCTAGGCGATGGGGCTTTCAAATCAACTAGAGCATGTAATTCTCACTCCAGAGATTTAAAAGATTTATTTGATGCCACATTTATTTAGAAGGAGGAGATGAACTACTACGAGAAAGGAAAAATTACAAAATCTTATAGAAGTGTCAAAGCACTCTAGGAGTAATAAAATTGGGGAGGGGCTAGCTTCCATTCTTGAACACTTGCCAAATGACAGATGCGGTATGTGTATAGACACTGGGCACTTTCCATGTGTCATTTCATTTAATTCTCAAAACTACCTTCGGAGAAAGGCATGAAACTCCTTCATTAAACATGAGAAAAATAGAGGTCTGGGGAAAGACGGGTTTTCAATCTTTCCCAGTAGTTGATTCTTAATTCAAGGAATTGTGAGCCCGATGTTTTTAGACTCAGATGTAAGCTCCCATGTGGCTGCAATAGGTAAGGTGATTAAGTGGGCTGGAGAAACCATAAGGACCTCCAGGGGAGAACAAAGTGCCAGATGCCTGGAGCAAGTGTAGGAATGGCAAGAAAGATCAGGAACATGAAAAGGCAGGTGGGATGGGTACCAGAGAACCAAAAGATAAAAAGGTGGCAGACACACAGTCCGAAGTCCAGATTAAATGGTCAGATCCTGTAGGATTTTGAAAGACAAATCCTGTAGGGACTGAGGGAACATGGTGTCAATGAGCAAAAGTAAATCTCCACTATAGAGACTTTACAAGTAAGACAGTTCCAGAACACAGCTCCGGTTGTTCATGGTTTCCAAGGTGGTAGAAGCCCACCCTGCAGGCAGTAATCAGGCAGCTGGGAACAGAGGAGTTGGGGTGGGGTTTCTGAGAAGATATTAACAGTGTCTGAACCAGTTTTTCCAATTTGACACATTTATAAGAACTTCTTTTTTTTTTTGGAGTTGGAGTCTCACTCTGTCACCTATACTGGAGTGCAGTGGCCGCTCCCGGCCACCGCAGCCTCAACCTGCTGGGCTCCAGCGATCCTTCCGTCTCAGCCTTCCAAGTAGCTGGAAGTACAGGTGCACGCTACCATGCCTGGCTAATTTTTTTTTATTTATTGTAGGGATGAGGTCTCGCCAAGTTGCCCAGGGGGGTTTCGAACCAACGGGCTCGGGCAATTCACTCACCTCGGCCTCCCAAAGTGTAGGATTACAGGCTGAGCCACTGAGCCCGGCCAAGAACTTCTTTTAATTTATGTTTTCTTCATGAAGCCTTGAAAGAAATCATTTTCATTATGTTTCTCAGTTATAATACTTTGTTAATTAGCTTAAATTAACTAATGTTTTCCTTAGGTTGTTGGATCTAAATATTTTGTGCTTTCTATTTTGTGAAGAGTTTTTGCTTCTAAGAATTTTATTTAATATATTGGTTACCAAACAAGAAAATCAGAAGCACATTGTTTAGCTCCACAGAGAACAGCCTAATTAGGAATTTACTCTTTTACTCCTTGCTTAAATCCTCTAGGTGATGCGCTTAAAGTTTTATGGTTATTCTCTTAACTATAATTTTCCTTGTGTTGATGCATACATTTAAAATATATGTTTCAATCTGGCAAAGGTCCCCCTGTCAGAAAGAACTGTCTCTCCAATTAAGGTCATTATTAATTGGGACCAGTGGCACAGGAGGTACTAAGAGTTTCTCAGTGATGACTGCAAGTACTCCAAAATACTGCCATGTCTGCCATGGTCACTGGAGTGCTGAGTATACTAGGTCACTTGGTTTGTAGAAAACCAAGATGAATTCAAGGGCATTGCTAATTGACTGTAGTCATGTAGCTGCTATCTAAAGGGGTGACAACTAGTTGGTGATGAAAATAATCCCAGACAACTTTATTATACATTCAAAAATGTTGTGCCCTTTGATTACTGTATTGCTTTTTCCTGGAAGAAAGTAAGCTGCCGGGCGCGGTGGCTCAAGCCTGTAATTCCAGCACTTTGGGAAGCTGAGGCAAAAATATTGCCTGAGTACAGGAGTTTTGAGACCAGTCTGGGCAACTTGGTGAGACCTTGTCTCTACAATAAATCAAAAATTTAGCCAGGTGTGGTGGTGCGTACCTGTAGTTCCGGCTACTTGGAAAGTTGAGGCAGAAGGATCACCTGAGCCCAGCAGGCTGAGGCAACAGTGACCACGAGCATGCCAGTGCACTCCAGCCTGCGTGACAGAGTGAGACTCTGACTCAAAAAAGAAAAAAAAAGGAAGTTTGAGATTTTTTTAATTTGGAAATAATCACATGCAATTTAATTCTAGGAAAGTAATTATGTAAAGCAACAATATTGACAAAGGAGACAAAAAATTTAAACTACTTCTAATTCTGTATTTTGCAGAACTTTTACATAATTCTATTTTTAATGAATTCTAATATATTCCTTGCAGTAAAATTGGCTCCTTCCCCTAACCAATTCTGTGTTCACTCTGATGAGGAAACATCTAAATCAGCAATCTTAAACTGTAGGGTAAACAATAATCACCTAGAGAGCTAGTTTAAAATGCTGATTCAGGAATTGATGCAGGTAGGCCACACACTACACATTAAGGGTTAAATACATGTAACATAGACTTGGATTAATAACAAAGATACTGTGTTTTGCTAAAAGTAATGCCAGAGTTTCTATTCCCTTCACAGGATGTGATACAGGGTAGAAGTAGCACTGTGTTTAGACCTCAACTTAGATTCCAACTACTAGAGACCTTTATTTCACTGTTTAAATGAAGTTCCCTTATCTGTTATTGAAAAGAAAAAGTTCAAGTCATGAAAGAAAATAAAATTATATCTATAAATTACTTAATGCTTCTAACACAAAAGGCATACATGCTTGATTTCGCTTGTTTTTTATTTTACTATTTGACTAAATTATTTTGCTCTGCTTTTTATCCATAAGTTCTCTTAGGAAGAATGCTAAAAGCAATATTAAGAGACATACATCTTTCCAAACTCTCACTGCTTTCCAGGGAGGTCAGGACATCTCAGCACTCACTGTAGTCAGATGAGGTGGGCTGTTTCTTACCAACTCAGCACCATCACTGGTGCCCTTCCAAGGCTGGGAACCACATCTTCCAAGATTCCCTTCCTTTTATGGTTATAGCTTAGAGGCTGCTAAAGAGAGGAACTGAAGCATTTGGAAGGCCAAAGTGAAGAGGCAACTGAATTCCCAAAAGGTGTGGTTTAGAGACTTGTGGCATTCTGTGGACATCTCTGTAGGTTCCCTTTGTTGGATCACAGTGACTAAAAGCAGTGACTACTCAGATTCCAGGGTGAGTTCTGGCTTCTGTGTGCACTCCAGTGCTTCAAGGTAAAATTGTTAATGACTGTTTCTTAATGCTCCAGCTGTAGCCTGCCAAATGTTCACTTCTCTAGCCACTTTCACATTTGTGTAAACTTTAATCCCTCTATTAATTCTCTTATTCCAGGGATACTTATAGTGTTTCTTTTTTCTCACCCAAGCACTTGCAAATACACTAGAGTACCCTGGTCCTTGCTCTTATGTTATACCCTCTGGCTAATATGTTTTCTAACAAATACTTATTTGATATAGGGTACCTCCAACCCACATTCCAATTCTTTTGAAATGTCCCCAGGGAAACACATCTGCTTTCAAGTAGTCTGGTTGTACTTCACCTTTAATATGTTGTTTTCCACTATTATGTTTCATAAAAGTTTGGTATCGAGTATGTCAGAATAATAACCTTTGGGTCACATTATAAATCAAAACAAAGTTAGAGCCTCCTTGGTCCTAAAATTGTAAGTAGAAGTGTTCAAAGAATAAATAGCACTGACATTTAAACTAGCTACTGGACATTTAATTCTAGCATTTTAATCATAACTTACAATTTTATCTCATCAGTTTCTTGTCATATTTGTTTTTTTTGTTTGTTTTTTTTTTGTTTGTTTGTTTTTGAGCTTTTAGAATTTTATTTTACAACTGGGTGATGTAATTTAAGTTTTTACTAACATTTTTCTGCTAAAGATACAATTTAGATCTTCGTATCTTCAAAGTAAAAATCATCAAAATAGGAACACAGAAACAGCCTACTGGTAATGGTTACACCTACATATTATTTATTTATCTCCAAACCACTGGGAATTAATTCACCAAGATTCTCTAAGCCTTCATTATTTGTATGCAACTCCAGAGAAAACTAGTTTTCTATCAATTTACAGTTCAGTAGTCATGATCAGATACTCCTCCAGTGAATACAAGTCAGCCATTGTAGAGGCAATTTTAAATTCTTCTTTTAGGTCTACTATACAGGACAAATATCTTGCCTAATATCTCACTACTTTGAGGATCAAATTTAAATGAAGTATTCAGGAACAGCCTAGATAATATGGGTGTAATCTGGATGAATCGTAGTCTAAGTCGATGGCTTGCTCTTTAGTAAAGCACAGTGATTCCAGATATGTGTTCCACAGACACAATGAGTTCTATTAACTTGGTCAGTGCAGAATAAAATATATCTGTCTACCCATAACGGTAGCATCCATTTATTTGCCTTTGTCTTATTTTGCATACATAACTCACAGACTTATAAACTTTACCAGTGACTACATTTCAGATTGTATTGCATCAGGAAACATTTGAGAGGATGTTATTTTATAGCTTAACTATTTTAAATTCATTGTTGGTCAAGTTAGCAGTGGTGGGACATTTTCTTGTAGAGACTGATTCCAAATACACTGAGCAGATGCTTGCTAGATCTACTCAATAGGCTGTATGCCTTGTCCTTCTCCCTCCGTCTGAGGCTCATGTACCACTTGACTGTTCATGGAAAGAAAAAGAATACAGAATCAGATTGGTCCTTCTCCGCTTCCAAAAAGCCAAAACATTTCAATGGCCATGTTTTCACTAAGATTTGTAACTGCTACAATAGTTCTTTGAGTTTGCTTATTAGAATGACACACACGTTTTAGGAGAGTTAATGATTTAGCTGGACAGGCAAAAAGTAAGTCACAGGATTTTCAAAAGGTGTAAGAATTCCGTTAAGATGATACATTAACTAAAGCTGCCATAAGTTTTATCAGTTTAAATTTTTTGTTTTTAAATTTCAAGGGAACAGGCTTTAACACGAGAAATAAAAGATATGCCAGTCTGTTATCTATATGTTCTTCATCTTGGCCATGAGGTCTTCCAAGCTTTCACTGGAATCTTCCACTGTTACCTCAGGTACAGAATGTTCTTGCTTTTTTGGAACTGTATATGCCACCGTAATTCCTGCAGGTAAATCTGGAATTGGATCTGAAGAATTTTTCAATTCTTCTTCTGAAACCTCAGATACCAGCTCAATACCCCACTCATTATCTTCATGTATTATCTCTTCTTCTTCTTGTACAATCTCTTGTTTGGGCAGTGCTGCTACCTTTTTCTTATATTCTTCCTGCTGCTTCCTGCAATTTCTGTCATCACACTGAGGATTTGGCTTCATGGACATAGTAGGAAAAAAGTCCTGCATTGCATTGTAACCAAGGTAGAAACTAACAGTACCAAAATTTAATAGTAACTTTAACACATTTTGTACCAACATTCCAGCAACCACTGCCATGGTGGTAGGAAGACTGGCTGCACAAACACCTTCCCGTTTCAGAGTCTTTTCGTCAATATTTGCAGCAACCACAAGTGGTGGAGCACACGCAAAACAAGCAGATTCTCCAGGAATTATGAGCTGGATGTGCCCGGAAACTGCATTTTCACTGACCCCCGATTCCATCCATGTTTGTCCAAGTTCATTACAAGCTGTATTTATTGTCATTCGAGCTTCAAAGTTGTCCACACAGCTAAGAACTAGATCAACAGGCTTTCCTTCTTCTAACCCGCCGTTACTTATTCTACCCATGAAATGTTGAAAGTTGTCCACTGTGGTTATATTGTAGTCGTATACTTCAAAAAGAACATCAGGATTAATGTTCCTCAAAGTATGTTCTGCTGCTTGAACTTTACTTAATCCCGCTTGATGAGGTTGGAAGAAAAGTCTGTTCATGTTGGCCAGTTCCACCTTGTCATAGTCAAAGAGTAGTAACTTACCAATGCCACATCTTGTCAGCATTTCAGCAGTCACACTACCAACTCCACCAACACCTACTACTGCTACAGCAAAGGTACGGATTTTCTCATAGTTGCTGACAATTCCCATGCGTTTCAATGCCATCAGGCGGCTGTAGGGGTTGGAATCCGCCACCTCCGCGTTCATGCTCTCAATGCGGGCGCGGCCGCCGCCTTCGCCGCCGGCCC